GCTATTAGCCTATGGCTTGTTTCAGTTTAGATTTTTTTGTGGGAGAACTTGAAATAAATGGTAATTTGTTGAAAGTCGGGTTTTACACCAGGTGCCAGCTTACTCTTATAAGCACATTAAGTTTTGGAGTCATAATGTAGGCCTAATACCCAGACCGTTTTCAAACAGCATCGATTTTTAGAGAAGCAGAACAGTTAACAAAAAATGAATAACTCTGTGTGAAAGAACCAGACGGCTCTTGAAACCGTTTTTAAGTAGGTTTGGATTCAGTGACAAAAGCAAAGTAACCTGTGTCTGAAAATTAATGGACATTCATTCATTTAAGTGTTTCTGAATGATTAAACGGTGTGTACAAGTGTCGCAGGCCAGGCTTCCAAATACAAGTAAACTACACACGGTGAACATTTGGTTCATTAGTTAATTGTTTGCAAAGTTGCTAATGAATCCCTGATGATTCAAACCGTATTCAAAGTTTTGTCAAATGACTTGTATGTTTATATATATTTGAACCATTTCGGTATGCCGGGCACAGATGCACACACACTCGTAGGCACACACACACACACACACACACACACACACACGAGACAGAGAGAGAGAGAGAGAGAAAAACGCTTGCAAGCCACACTGAATTTTGGCAATTATCGCTTGCATTCAGTTGGCACATGGACGGCAACAGTGACGTTTACGGCGTCTGTCCTCAGTGGGTAGAATTTGTGTCAATTTCAAGAATTTGTTAATCTTATGGTTCAATATCCAAGCATAGAAAAGGTTAGTTCTTTCAAACTCTGAGTTTCCAATGAGAATCAAATGGAGATTATCAATGACATGAAAAACCAGTAAAAAGCGTCAAAATCAGAATAAATCGTTTTCATAAAAAAAAAAAAAACAAAAACATTCAGATGAATTCAGAGATGCCAGTACGCCAGTTTGGTGGTATGCCTGAACTACTTTCAAAATGAACTTTGTTTATGAAGCCTTGCATGTGACTTGATGCAGATGCTCCGTGCTTGCTCAGGTGCAAGCACAGTTGAGGAGTGATATGTTTATCAAATAATAATTCCATGTGTTTCGTTGCCTTAGTAAGGTGAACTGATGTATATAAAACAGCGATGGTATTCCACCCCATCAGTATCTAAGTTTCCAACTATTCCACCCCCACCTCCACCGTCCTGCGCCCAAACAAACCCCGTTTATTTAGTTTGAAGAGCTCACTGGTAAAATAATCTCCTAACATTTGAAATTCAAATTGACGGTGCACGAAACGTTTGTCGAAATAACAAGGTGGAAGAGAGGCAAAGAAAAAGGTTGTTCTGTAGATATATACTTGTCTATAGCTTCTGTCAATACTCCTACATCGAATAATTTTCTGCTTTTTGGTTGTCTGAGAGACGTTAAGAAGATTGAAAAGGGTGGAAAAGTCACACTTATAATCAAGCTGCAACAGCTGTGTTTGCTTTCAATGATCTCATTCTTTCAATTAGAAAAAAAAATGGAATCAGGGAGATCGTCTCTGACGAAAGTTCACATCAGCATGATTCCCTGAAAAAACTGGTGATGAGTTTTCGATATGCTACTTTAATTACGTTCGTTCCAAGTATGTTTGAGTAATGTACAGTATGCCAAGCCCATGTTTTCCCTAATTGCGCTTTTCATCTCTAGAGACCTTTCAATCTTGGAAAAACATTTCACGTGTTCGAATTTAACTTAAATACTGATTCTAATACATTTTATATTAAGTGTTGTATTTTGCTTCATGGTTGTCCAAGGCGTAGACAGGATTGCAAAAGGCGAAATGGTTCTTGCTATGAAACAAGCTGTGATAGCTGTTAATTATTCCCTTACGGTGTCTAATTCCACAAAAAAATGTCACGAAGATTTTGAATATTGAAAAGATCTGTTGGGTATGATGATTGCCAATGAAAAAGCCTTTGTTTCTCATATAATTGCGTAATACACGCCAGGCTTATTATTTCCTTTATTGCACTTTATTTCTCCAGAGACGGTATTATCTCCGAAAAATAAATCATGTGCCCAAAAGTGATTAAATTAATGTTCCAACATTGTTTAATGCATTTTGCGTCATCATTTGCTAAAAGCGTGAAGAATATTGAAAAGGGCAAAGAAGCCCATGTTATGATATAAGCAGTGATGGCCTTAAATTAGCTTTTTGTTCCCTCGTAGCAAAACGAGCGTTTGGTAAATTGGTAATCATGGAAAGATAACCTAACCACGAACTCTTTATTTGCTTTTCATTCTGCCTCATTCGTTTGTAGCACATATGTTTGCGTAATATGCTCCCATCTGAGGAAGTCATTTCCCTAAGCGAGCTTTTATCTCTATAGTAGGTTTAATCTCCGAAAACTGAAGCAATTGTCCCAAATGGATTCGACAAGTTAGCTCTACTGTTATAGTTAAGTGTTGTGATGAAAACCATGTATTGCCTTTTGGAAACAAATTGGCGTCGTGACAAGAAATGCATCCCACATACCTTGACAATATACAAAACATAAGATCCAATTTGAATATTTCTGTGCTCTACAATTTGGATTAAAACTACGTCAATCATCATGCAATTTATCAAATTAACATTATGACCGACTTTTTTTTTTAGTATTAAGTAGAATTTATGCCATCGATAGTAAATGCCGGTAGTTTTAGATTGATGGTATAGACCTAAACATGTAACGGAAATGGAGGGGAAGTAATTACGTAACAGGAAGCGCACGCGCAGAGATATAACAGGAAAGGGGAAAGTAACTTTTTACAAAACTTTAGGCACTCCCACATTTCAAAAGCAAGAATACAGAAAACATAATGTGCATCAGAAATGTAAATGTTCTAAACTTATTCCTGCCTTATTGGGTTTTATGTTTCTTTTAAAGAAAAAACGAACGATTTTCGTCCTCTAAACTGCCCTGAATCGTGTTCTTTCTTTGGGTAACTGAGTCCTATATAAACAAAGTGCCAATATCCATTGGAGTATGACTCTACGAAAATATTTAATTAGTTTCTGCGAGACTCAGGGTGGGCCTTATTCCTGTGAATCCTCTTACTGATATAGTCATTGAAAATGAAAATGGCACAGCAAAAATGACAGATTTGAGTTTCGGAACTGACAATAATCGCCCTTTTGATTCGGATTTACTAATAATACAGACTGTTTATTTTTTTCTGTAATCCACCAAAAATCTATAATATAGCGTTTTTAGCAGCTTGGTTCCAACCTTCTTCATTGATCACAAATACTCATTAATCACTCCATTTTGGAAACTAAAAACCATCCCAGTTCATCTGTGAAGTTTTCACACAATGATATCCTCATTCTACTGTCTTGTGAATAGGGCCAATAGACATGCAAACAGACAGAACCAAAATAAAACAGAATTCAGATACTTTGTATTTGTATATTGAACAATTCGAGTCAAGTTGGCTGCGTTTCTTCCTAAAGAGACACGTTACTCTGCTTCAATCCAGGTTCGAACAGTTTTTTAGTTCATTTACGCGGCAATGCTTATTGGAGCCAAGCCCAGTATCAATTACGACTAAATTTAACTGTATTCACTCAAGTACATCATAACAACCTACAGAGAAGCAAGTTGCCTGGAGATAGATCAACTATAATGATCTGGGCAAACACCCGGCAACTGGGTGGATAGAAACCAATGTGGTTTCCAGGAGATTAGTACAACTTTAAATGATATATCCCCTGATGAAAAACCCTAAATGAAAAAGATAGATCTGCCTTGGGCTGATTTCGGTTTAGGATTTCGATGATTACGAAGTAAAACTTAACACTCATGAGGTCAAAGTTGGGGAGATTACATATAATTCATTTCCTTATTTTGTATTTGGGTAACATTTGAATCTATAGAAAAAAACATCAGCCAAAACTTATTAAGTATTCATTAACAAGCCGTTATTGGGGCGTAACATATAATGTACATGTTCGACATTCTTGCTAAAAAGTTTGGACTATACCAATGTTACATGAATGTTAAGAGTAAAATAATGTCAAGCATAGAAAACGCGATATAATCATTCATCCAGCCCATCCTTTTGTTATAAGAGGAGATCGACATATTCATCCTTCACATTTGTTGGAGAGGATTAATTGCCACTGCACACATCAGCAGCAGGTATATAAGTGTGCATTGCTAAAACCTCGCATTCTGGCTATTTTGTCACAGAGCACTGCAGCTGTAACCACCTAGAGCGCACCTCTTCAATAATTTGCGCCATTTTTCTAAACTGTAGTGTAACAGCCATTGCTTAAGCCCCTTTTACACTGGAGACGTCCTTTCTGCGTCCCGTTGTACGGCCCCGTTTGAGAGTAAAAAAAAACTTTACGTGCCGACACCTGGCCGATCATTGAGCATTCATTTTATGGTGGCAGAAAGGACGCCGCCCAGTGTAAAAGGGGCGTTAAATAAGGTACATGTACACATATCACTGTTCGTGTGAAAACTACCATAACAAAAAAAGGGAATTTAATAATATGTCATTTGTTTTAGATGTGTTCCACATTGATTTATATAAGGAAGAGTATATATGCAGGGGGGGCAGTACCCTTTGATTGAATTTGCAGAATTTGCACCTGCACTGTAGCCATACTTTTGTTATAGATTTGATTTACTTTGGACCTGCACTGTTTATCATTTCTGTATTCCTCTGCGTCTGCCTACCGGGCCTCCATGTCAAATAACAAAATGAAGGAGATTTTCAATCACATTGTATCAGGGTAAATGATAGCCATGTTATGGTCTATCACTTTGGTTTGCTAACGTTATGGGCCTTGCACCCTGTTGTGAGACTTCAAACCCCTTCATATTTTGAATGAATAAGTGTGATAAATTGAATTTGATAATAACACGTAAAATTCAGTTATCATTTGGCATTAGGTTTATCAATCAAATTCTGACATGATTAATTTATTGACCAAAGCATTGTGTAAATTAAGAATGGTCACCAACACATATATCACTGGTGTTGTATTTCAGTTACGCCCTCTGGTGGGAAAGGGGGTACCAAGAAACAGAGGTGCCGGTCAGTGCGGTGACCACAAAATTAAAGGGGATTGAGTACACCAATATTTCGTCCGTAGGACCTCGCATTTGGGACGTTGCTGAATATGTTGTGCCTCCCTTGGTGAGTTGGGAGCTTTCAATATGTGTGTGTGTGTGTGTGTGTGTGTGTGTGTGTTCAAATGTACAAAAGTACAAGAAAGCATGCGGATAACATATTTTAATACCATGTTGTTTTAGAAAAGCGACAATCAACTATATCATTTGAAAAATAAACTAATACGCAAAATAGGCACATTTTAAAGTAAAGCTTATGCTATTTCACTTCTATATCATGCGGTAATAGCAATATTGAAATTTCAGGAAAAGGATGCTTTCTTTCTTATGACAAACATGGTTGTAACGCCGAACCAGAAGCTAGGAAAATGCGATGAGGTACGATGAGAAAAAAAAAAAAAGAAAGAAAGAGCAACTGCATCTTATTAACATCTACATCTTTGTAGCAAGTGTTAGGGAATGTATTTCATGACAGATTTATTGAAAAGCATGTATATTAGACTGGGTTTCCTACTCAGATCGATCCATCTGGATCGACCTAACTCCCTGGGAGTTCACGCTAAATTGCTATCAGCTTAGAGGCTTAAATGTCTGCCACGCCTACCGAATCAGCTAGGGGTTAGGATAATTACCACCTAACAGTTTTACTAGGCGTGACAGACGTTTAATCCGGTTAGTTTGATAGCAATTTAGTGAGACTCCCCAGGGAGATAGATTTATCTGTGGGAATGGTCTCTTAGTTTCTTCTCTCGTGTGATGTTGCCGTTGGTGGATATAGGGGTCGCTGAGGAATCGACACCACCCGCTTACAACCCCCCTTCCCCAATGAATATAATAACATAAGTAGAAAATTAGAACGAAAGAGAAAAAGCGTTTCACAGAACCATGCTTCACATAGTTTTTTCCAACTTTTTTCTTTTCAAATGTCAGTATTAAAATAGGCAAAAACGCCTCCCATCTTATGTAACGGATTCGCTATTGCTTCAGTAAAATTTGTACTGTACTAATAATAAAAAAGACAGATCTAATGCAGGTCATTGTGTTATCAGGACCCAGAAGTTGCTCCATGCAAGCGAGACTCCGACTGCTCAGCAGGTCAAACAACATTTGGAAGCAACGGTAAGTGGTTTGCTTCCTATGTCTACCGGTAATCCGGTAGTTCATTAATTCGGGGCTAGTCGCAAATACTAGTCTATTGGCGTTGATGTATCTGTTTTTTTTCCCGAATGATGAGAGGCATCGATTTTGATAAAATATCATTACAAAGTCTTAGGCAAACAGTTTTTTTTTTCTATGTTGTGTTAGCTCTTCATCATCAGTATTTCACAGCGTTCTATTGTTTGACTCCCGTCATTATTTGAAATTACCCAAACCAAAGGCACATTACCATAGGAACATTTTAATAGGAATCAGGTTTATTAAACAACCCACCAAGTTGACTGAGTTTACGCATGTTTCTGATTTTTTGTTTAGTTCAATGTGTTGCATGCTATGTGTGAGATGATACACTGTCACCCAAGCGATATACATGTATGTCAGGCATATATCGCGAGAAGGTGGCAGTGTATTATTTGACATACATACATACATACATACACACATACATACATACCAAGAGAAAGTACTCGCACTGCACCGTAAAACACCTCTAAAACCGAAAAAAAGAGTATATCGCCGCATTCACATATCGTCTCCAGGCGTGTGTTATTAAGACAATACCTTTAAGAAGGTAAAATTTAAACTGCAAGGAGATGTTTTATTTATGAATCATAATCGAGATTCAACGTGTTTAACTCGAAATATTATTTTCAAATTGTACGTTGAAATGAACTGCAATTAATAATTACACTGATTGGTTAGAAAGAGGGTTTCCCAAAGGAAACGGCCTCTTGCAGCCTTTGGCTGCTTCCGGCCCTTTTGTCTGGGTGTTTTGTGGAAGCAATATTCGACGGTCTTTTCCGTAGTTCACAGTGTTTGAATTCGTCTTTTGGTTACAGTTTTGTTTTACTGAGACAATATTTGGCAAATATGCTGGTTTTATTGTTTATTTTATTTTTTTATTTAATTCTATTTTGCCTTGTCTTTGAATACAGTGTTGTGTGTCTGTCTCATTGTTAGCAGCAAATCTATTGTTTTTTGTTTTTTAATTTAATACTATGATAATTAAGTCATCACATTTTATAGCATTTTAGTTTTTATAGTATTTTAATGTCCAAACGTAATTAACTAAGGCATAAAGGGCAAAGATACATGTCTTATTACTTACAGGTCGTGCTGTTTCAGGGGTCATGACAGGACGATGTATCCCGTCGTCTAGAAACTCTTCCATGACGTCATGTGAAGTATTCGCATGGTGTCCCGTGGAAAATGACGTCCCACTGCTGTGAGTAAGGGGCTGAAGTCCGCTTGATTACAGTATAAAATGGATTCTTAGCTAATTCAAAGGTTGATTTAATAAGCCCAAGCTTTTAGTTTCACTGCGTTGCATAATGCAATTGGTAGTGTTTGTCATCGGTTTAGTCTGATTGCTTTTTATTAAGATATTGAAGGCCTACGGTTTTTTGATCGATATGCATTTTCCGCTATTTAAATTGATTCTAAATTGGCATGTGCTTTCATTATAAAGTTAGTCAACGGAACCTACTATTCCAGAGGATCGGGTTTGTAAGATACAAGCCAAACTGAAATAAATAAATAAGCAATAAAAGGTAGTCTAAAGGCATTATAGTTTTGCGATTTTTGGAATGAAAATGAGATGACGCTATGATTGAGTAATGTTGGCTTGCCCGTTTGTTAAGTGGTCAAGATTTGGTTTGAAGTTATTGATCTTCCTTTCTATTCCTCCTCCCCAAAGTAGAGAAAAAGTAATTAATCTCAAATCATATTAGCAATGTCAATATACATACAAATTTCAATTATCCATGTTCAGAATTATATTTAATTAGACATTTAAAAAATAATACTATTTCTAAATTCTCACAATACTTCAGATGAGCATTTTGCTTTGATTAGAGCTTATTCAATATGTTGTTTGTTTCAGTAAAGGTCGACCTGTTCTTCCGGGGGTAGAGAACTGCACTGTGCTTATAAAAAACTACATTGTTTTCCCGAAATTTGGCGTAAGAAGGCAAGTATTCAGTATGCTACTGATTTCTTCAAACAAGCCAAAGGCGATCTGTTCTTTTTTCACATCTACCATGTTTACTTTCACCTTGGCACTAGTTCGGACTTAATAGCATAAACGTGTCTGCTGCGGTATAGGAAACATTTTAAATCTACACTAGCCAGTACTGTTGCGTTATGAATGGAGGAATATTTATGGATAGTTTACTCGCATGTCATAGATCAGTCATTTCTGCCTATAAACAAATCTGTATGAGGATAGCCAAGTATTGGAATACCGTTAAGATTAATGAAGACAGTCTATCAAACATATAGTTAACGGAATCAGTAAGAGCAGTTGGTGTTAGGAAAATTATTTATTTGTGTTGACGGTCTGCCGTTTCTTATTGTAATAATCTTTCAAGGGATGTATGCTGTCTTCTAACACACCAAGTATTCTTATTATTTCTGGTCTTTAGTTTAACATTAAATGAAAAATTATATCAGAAAAAAAAATGGTGCAGGAAAATAAAAAATAAAATGTTTGGTAAATAAAATCTTTTCGTGAATCGTATTTTAGTATGATATTTAAAACCGTAAAACGTTTTGCTTTTCTGTAGTATTGAATATCATTTCAGCTATCGGTATTAATGAATGATAAATGCACGAACATGCAACTTAGATATTTGTTTGTTCAATGTTAATAATTTCTTTATATGTTTTTGTTAAAAGGTTTTTCATTATATTCCAGGCGAACAATTCCTGAAGATTATGCCGAAAAACATCTTAAGACTTGCAGATGGAACAAAGACGAAGAAAAATACTGCCCAACGTTTAGGATAGGCGACATTATCAACAGTATTGGAGAAAATTTTACCGAATTAGCTTATAAAGTGAGTGCCAAGATCTGCAAAGCTGTAACCATATTTGGTTATATTCTAATAAAATGTTTACTGTATCTTTGTTTTTTTAATGGGTAATCGATAACTCATCTGTGTGAATTGACAGAAGTCCTTTTAATACTGTATATAGATTATACACAGTCGTAACGTTTTTTTTTAACTTTCAATATCTAAATGGACCATGCATTGACCATTGTGTATACTGAAAGTGGACATGGAAATTGAAAAATGTTGTTTTATTGCGTATGTTTTCTCTAGGGAGGAGTTATCAATATCAATATACAGTGGGACTGCAATTTAGATTATGACCCGAAATATTGCCTACCACTTTTTACAATGAGAAGGGTGGACGAAAAAACAGATATCGCCCCTGGCTTGAATTTTAGGTGAGTGTTTCTGTATGTGTTATTGTATACAATATTGTAAAAGAATCGATAGTGATATAGCCATTTTGATGTGTTTTAGAATGCACATATGGATTGCTAAAATACAGGTTTGAATTAAATGATAATATTTGCGTGGGAGGTGATAGCTGGTGTATTACAATTTAATGTCTGATTGGATTTAAAACGCCATTGTTGGTTGGGTTATAACCTGACTTATTTCAAAGGTTTTTGTCGGCAAAATTGTTTTAGACTACAGAATGAAAAGCTTTGTAAAAGCCAAATAGAAATAAATCATCGACCGCTTGAATTAAGTGCTAGTCAGTGTATTAAGATTTAATGCCACGATTGCTTTGAAAGTGCCATTGTTGGTTTGACTATAAGCTTTACAAAGCTTTTCTGTCAGCAAAATTGTTTTGTGAACTGGGAAATGAAACGCTTTGTAAACTGATTGAAAAAAATCATTAAACGCTACTTTACCCGCAACTTTATTATTGAAGTAATCATTTCATAAGAGAATGTTAGATTACTNAGAGAGAGAGAGAGAGAATCATATTTTTAAAACATAATTAAAACGATATTAACTTGAAATGTATATGTATTTATGATGTAGTTTATATATGTATTTTCTAGGCATGCCTATCACTATGTTGAACACGGTCAACCCGCCAGAACACTAATAAAAGCCTGGGGGATACGTTTTGTGATCACAGTATCAGGGAAGGGAGGAAAATTCAGTATAGCACCCACGTTGCGTAATATTGGTGCAGGACTAGCACTTATGGCTATGGTAAGCTGCTTGTTACATATTAAAGCATGTTTATTAATGCTGAATCTCACAATTGGATTAGTTCAAGAAAAAATATAAATATTAATGTTACCTTTTTTAGACCTAATGAATATACTATACCAGTTTAAATCTAGAGACTACCTATAGCTGTATATTGCTACTAATATTGGCTTTTAGTTGAATGTTTTTTTTTATTGTCATTGAGTTTCGATTATTTAACTCCTTGATCATTTCTTTCACCAGGCTTCGGTGGTATGTGACATTGTCCTACGCATTTGGTACCGCTCGTCATTCGAGAAAGAAAAATACAATGAAGCAAAAATAATGCGTCTGGAATGCTGCTGACCTTAAAAAGAAACTGATACAAAGAAGAAACATGACTCTCAGTTTTGTAAATTTAATTAAATCGCTGAAGAAAAAGCTAAAACACAAAAACCAGCAAAAATACAAGCGATAAATGGTGTTTAATTCAACGTATTTTTATCTTTAACATCGTACCAAAGAGCTATCAGTAAGGCGATCTGAATGATTTTTTCATTGGCAGTGTTGACACTTGTTGATACTTGTGACGGTTCGTCATTTCGTCATCAACATTCGCCCTCGGACGGAATGACAGCAGCAGCAGGAAAGCAAGCCATGAGCTAAGACCAGAGTTGCTTTTTCGGAGGACGCTTGTTGTTTGCCTCCATTGTTTTCATGCGTAATTGATACATTTTGTGTTTCATATAAACCTGTTCCCCCATTGGCTCATGCCAGTGGCAAGTCTCAGTACCGTCATGATAAAACAAGAACTGAGACGTTTTACTATCAAACCACACTTCCCTTCCTTCTTTACAGCCATGAATAACTCTGATAACAGAAAAGGAGACCGTTGAATCTAACTCAAAACGATAAAAACAGTAATTCAGATATCGGAAACGTATTATGATTTTCTGAACAGTTTTGGATAGCACATGCCTTGGTGATGCAAGGAAAAAATGAAATTTTCAGGAAGATGCTATACAAATGACTAACGGGCAATTAGAAGCATCTAGACAAGAGATTGCCATAAGTACTCGAGTATCTGTACCAATCAAAATCTTTCAGTTGTGATTTTTTGACTAATGTGTACGGCCATATAGATAGTGGTAATATACAGTCAGAACAAGAGTATTTTTTCGGTTAATAACAATTTTATTTGTCGAGGCTAAAACTTTTTTAAATACCCTTTCTTATTAATTGCCATACCATGTAGTTAGCCACTGAAGTCATGTGTCAGGGGAGGAAAAGGAGGAATTCCGATCAAGATACTTAAGCCGATGTATAAAAAAGCCAGTCTTATATTAACTATGATTTGGGAGTATGACTTATTTAAATCATGAGTGATTGATGATTCATTTTTAATGCTTATATACCTTAAAAAATCATATCTGTGAACTTGAACTGCGCGCGTGAAACGTTCAAGAACTATATGACCCATAACAAATGTGCACCACAATAAAATCATATTTTCGCATTTATTTGTGAAGATTTTTTATTCTCTTGTCGAAGTCTGTTTATCATACAATGCCTGTAAGTGAAACTTCATTGGTTGGTATATATTCTATGTATATGCATGTCCGATTTTACATTTTACCCTATATAACGACTCAGCTAAATAGCTACTAGAGCTACCTGCAAGGGCAATAGTGAATTAAGAAATGTCATGAAGCTCCGGAATATGTTACTTTTTTGATGGACGACGTTAAAATAAACAGTTTTGTGAAATAACATGGAAAAAGAAAGATATCTCGTAATCACAAACAAAAATAAGGCTGAAAACATGACTATTGTATGGGAAAATAAGCTTGTAACGAAGTAAAGAGACAATAAAATATATTCATACAAGTTAAAATCAGTCAAACAAAGAAGTATGGTTCAGGGTTCTGGAAGCATGAAAATAAGTTTTAAAAGGGCTTTTGTTTGTTATTTTCTTGATTTTGAAAGAAATCAAATGTTGTGAATATCGAACCCTGCTCATATGGATTTTGTCAGCCTGCGTCTATTCTGTCATATTGACAATACGAAAAGTAGGATTAAATTAAAAAACCACAATGTCATAGACATTAAAATTATCACACATATGCGAGCGGGCGTCTATATGTTACAGAACATTGAGTAAAAATTTCCCCTTATTTCAGTGATTGGTGGTTCTCTTTTCTGATTAAGTGTGGTAATTTTTGTAAAATAAAAAATATCGATTTCACTCATTATATTACCATGTTTTATTCACACGATGTTTACTGAGCGGTGATATATAGACCTGCAAAAACAAAATTGCATCGACGAATTTCTTTAATGATTTGGCTTAGATACGATAGGCAGGTTTTTATTTCACATTACAAAGGATGTTTGAATCTTCGCGCCAAAGCTTGTAGGACAATTCCATCTTCTAAGAAAAGCTCAAATTAGAACGGCGGAGCATCGGGTCAATCCGTGACACTCGTCGGTTTTTCCGATGAGTCATCCGATTGATAGTGCACAGTTTTAACTTGTTGATACGGACATGGCGGACGCTGCAGACAGGTAAGGTTATCAACCAGAGTAACGTTTATTTCATCAATGATAACGACGCTTTAAGATTCCCAAAAGGCGTTTCTTTAGTAAGAAAGGAGCTTACTTGTGGGTTGATCAACTTTTCTTCTGTCAGGATATATGCACATTACTTTCTCTTTCGGAACAGAACCTAGAAATTATTTGTCTATACCTTTCTGCCTTTTTGTGTGTAGTTAAAACAACATATTTTGGAATTTTCATTTTCTATTTACGTTACAGAAATTGTACTAATTTATCCCATAACATGCATGGAATTATATTTAGGTCCCACATTACTTCCTTGTTTAGAATATATATATATCTGTTTTAGCATTAAGTATCCACGTTTTATGCAACCTCATTTAACAAAAAAAACCTATTCCAATTTTCAAGTGAGTTGCCAAATGCGTGGAGAAAGTGTCACGGATGGGATGGAGAGGTAAGTGCAGACAGTGGATTGAGTTTGAAACAAAGTGTTACACATTCCACAGTTTAAGTGTTATCATACGTCCATTTTGACCTACTTTGATAAAATGATATACTATTTATTGTGTTTCGCATCTGTATATTTACAAAAGGTAAATATAGGCCTATTATATTTGCGAAAATCATGACGTTTAGATAAACTAGGCACAAAAAAATCAAAAGCATGCCATAAAATACTGGTAAAGATAATCCACTCCTTTTATGTTGAAGAGAGTTTTAAAAAAATAATTGCTAAAATTCTTGCGATGTGTTTAAAAACAGACTAAATTCGATTTGGATGGGCCCTGATTTCTGTTCTCACACTTGGTTTTAATGTTACTCGCGCTTAAAAAATTAAAGACAATTTACTGATGAGGGATGATAATTGAAAGAATTGTTTATTGTAAATCAGTATTCAAAAATTCAAAAGGCATATAGTCTATATGGTCTGGATGGTCTTACTATTGAAAGAATGAGATTTGTTTTTATTTTAGAGTGTTAAAGCTCTTGCAAACCGCGTGCTACAGTATGAACCCCCCTACGGAGTGAAGAGAGCCCGAATACTACTAACGGGAACAGTTGGCTCGGGGAAGTCAAGCTTTTTTAACGGTGTGAAATCGGTATTCAGGAACCGTATAGCTACACAAGCTATGACTGGTGCCAGTGCCCGAAGTTTAACAACAAAGGTACGTATTCAGCTTCAAATATCTAAAGACAGTAATTAAAGGCCACAGAAAAAATTATAATAATAAATGACATTTTTTCAATTTTATTACTGGGTCGAGGGAACATAAAATTTAAGAAGAAACTAATTTCTGAATATCAATCTCCTTTGTGCTAATTGCACGCGTACGCCAAATGATGAAAGACTTAATGATAAGAATGTCGAACACGCGCTTGATAGCATATTGTTCTATTTTTCTGTAATTTTCATCTTTTTTCTTTACGTAAATGTTATTCTTTCCAAAATCAAAACAGCGACTCGAAATAACTTCAGTATAACATTCCAACTCCCTGAAATACAGCTGAGCAACCCACTCTTATTCTGTAGTTCAGGACCTACGAAATTCGGGCCACGGATGGGACCCCTCTGAAATTCCAGTTGTGTGACACCCCTGGTCTTGAAGACGGTCAAGGACTTGAGCCGGTAGATTTCCAGTTTCTCTTGGACGGAAATGTTCCTGACGGCTTTCAGGTATTTTAAACTTTTTTCATTATCAAACACACGTTTGAAGAAGTTTTCTTAATGATCACGCGCTATATAGTATTGGTAGAAATATTAGGCTATTTTTGAATTCAAAATGAATAAATATGCATGTGTATACAGGATATGTATTGAACAGAAAAAGTTATAGTGCGTTAATAGGAGATACATTGTAGTAAGATAATAGGAGGGACAGCAATGTCTTGTTCGCCTTTAGCTCCCAATCTATAAGTATTGATCAGTAGATAATACAGCAGTTCAAATGGAGTTTTTTTTTAGTGTGTTTAAACTAAAAATATTTGAATAGTGCTACATATTAATTTTAATCTTAAAAGACATGATTTGTTTATTTTTTTATTGATATTTTCAAGTGCCATCCCAATACAAGAATAACTACCAATATACCAGGATTTGTGAAGACTCCAAACATTTCCAACTCCATCCATTGTCTCGCTTTTGTCATTGACGCGGCAACCGTCTCAGTCATATCGGAGACAATTAAAAAGAAACTGGTAGACATCAAAGATCTGGCCCTGTCGAAAAGTAATTTTTTTTCATTTAATAACAATTTAAATTAATAAAAAGTATTTGGTTGTTTGTTTGTTAGTCTGTTGCTGTTATTTACTTCATAATTTATTTCCTGTCTGTGTAGCTTATATTGTCCTCTCTCTCTCTCTCTTTCTTTCTCTCTCTCTCTCTCTCTTAACCACACAAACACCATGCATGTTTCTTAAATAGTATAAGCTTCTTTTCATAAAACTCTGGCGTTCATTTATCCGTAGATATCCCGTGCTTGATATTGCTGACAAAGGTTGACAAAGTGAGCCAGATAGCCGATGTAGATCTCTCCAAAGTTTATCTGAGCAAAGCCCTGCAAGACAAGGTCAAACAAGTCGCTGACCTTCTGGGATTGCCAGAATCACAGGTAAGGTGGACAGTGGCGGATTTGGGGGGGGGGGGGGGTTCAGGACCCCCTCTTCGGTTTCTGAAAAATATATCGCACACCCATATTCCCCTCTTGAAATTAGAATGTTAACTAACTGAATTATAGTTCTAAACCGTACAAAAGGGCTCTGTTTGCTCTCCAAAACACCTAAAAATTGCGGGGTCCTTGAGCAGGCCCCGAACCCCACACCAAGAGGGCGATGGTCGGCTTCACATCAGAGGCCTGTCTTTCCGGACCCCACTTCAAGTAATCCTGGATCCGCCCCTGGGTGGATAAGCCTACTATGCACGTGTACTCATATTTTTGAACAATAAAAGTGAACAAAAAACCTTGTGAAAAAAGTAATAAATAAACGAATAACTAAAAAAATTAGAAATAAGATTATATTGGAAAAAGACTTCGTACAAGTTTTATTGATATGTACTTAAGTTTTTCACCATGTATTATGAGTTACGTAATGTACCAGTAAAATTAAAAATAAAAGAAAGCAAAACCCAAACAGGGCTTATGCATATTTGCTACAATTTTTAATCTAGGTGCTCTTGGTGAAGAACTACTGCAAAGAAGTGGAGCTGGATGCTAGTGTCGACGTTCTCACTCTCACGGCGATACAGCGAATGCTTGGGTGTGCGGACGATTACTTCGATGAGCTTGCATCCCAGCAGTGTTCTGACAACTTTGAGAACGTGCAGCTTGGCCTGCAAGCCATTTAAAATTTGTATTGCTGTGGCAGATATTGAGCGAATTTTTTTTTTTGACAAAAAAGTGCAATGTGGTTAATTTTACCCTATTTAAAGCATATTTAATGACACTTTAATCCAACTAGGAACTGCTGGTATATTTAATGCGTATTGTATTCAAGAAAATTAACAATCTTGTTCGATCACTATTTTTACTAATCACATATAGGCTACTATTTCAAATGATGTAGGCCTACATGTATGATATGTTGGTTTGTGCATATATACAGTATGGGATAATTTGTAACTTAATCTTTTCTCCGTATCCAGTCATGAAACATCCAACAATTAGGTCAGACAGTGTTTTCTAGAGAACTCAATAATTTGCAGCGATAATTATTTAAAACTTTATTACAGTCACAGTTGATAGCAAAGTTAGTAATCGGTTGCCAGACTGTGACTTTGCCCTCATATTATTTCGAAGCTGTGTAAATGCCTGCAATAAAAAAAATTGGTAGAGTAAAAAAATAAAAAGTAGGCCTATAAGTGAATAAAAACTATATGAATGGCAGCTGTGATGTTTGCTTCTGTCACTTTATTAATATATGAATATACAAGTACAGTAGAGGATTTAGAGGGGGTTCAGAGGGGTTCTGATCCCCCCTTCGATTTCTGAAAAAAAATCATACCAATGGTCACGTCTTCAAATGAGGATTTTAACTAGCTAAATCATAGTTCTAAACCGTGCCAAATGGCACCGTTCGCCCTCTAAAATACCAGATTTTTTGGAATCCTTCAACGGGCCCGAACCCCACGCCAAGGTGGGGGGGGGGGGGGGAGGGTCGGCTTGCCATCTGCGGACCCCCCTTCAAATAATCCTTTGATATACTACGGTACATATAGGAAAATCATATCGCATCGCAAACATTGCAAAAAATAAATAAATAAATAATAATATATAGGCCTATTCAGACCCACTAACCCAAGATAAGTTGAATCAATATTATCATTATTTACATCGGACAGCGAAGAGCTTTACACCCACGTGTTTAAAAGGCACCCTCGATATCAGTTGTAAACAATCCCACGTGGTCTGAAGAGGCGGGAATCCCATTAACGGGTCTGAATTAAGAAATAAAAATACACCGAAATTTTCCTTTATATTAATTTTTATACATATTTCATTAAACATATTATGGAAATCAATTTATTGCATTATTGTAATGAGCTGATAGGTCAAGATGATATGAACCAATGAAGCTTTGATATTATTTTCTATCAAAACCCGTATTGTATGAGACCTGGAAATCCCTGCAACCTCAACCGCGTGGTGATCTTTCAAGGTTCTGTCGCTTTTGCACGAGAGAAAAATGCCGTCAAGAGAACTCTCCGAATACGAAAAGCTTCGGCTGAAGAATATCGAAGATAACAAGAAAATACTTGCACAACTGGGACTTCTAAATCCGGTAAGATTTGACTGATCCGTGCAGCACTGTTGTTTAGTTCATTAAAATCAAAACTTCAAAAGTCGTAGAGATCACAACTACAAGATGGGTAGAGTGCAAACTTCTATACACTAGTCTCTGTAATATTGATGATATATACTCGGTATGTTACATGGCATACTAGTACATAAATGGGCAGCATGAATTACTTATTATATTATATTGTAGCATCATTATATGTATAGTATACTACATAATATTGAAGTGTATAATAATACTATCTAATGACACCCCCCCCCCCCCCACACACACACACACACTTATAGATCGTCACAATGGATTTGCAGATTTTGGACTTATTTATTTATTTTTTATTTATTTATTTATTTTTTTAGAAAAGGTACATGTAGAGACTGATATTTGAATACTATACCTGTCTGTGAAAAACAGTATGTTGGCACATAAAAGATCTCGAGATCTGATCAGTTCTCTAAAATAACAACTCATGTTTTCCAACTTTTTGTTACATACTACAAAGATTACAAACCTTTATTTACTACTATTGGAAGTTTGTGGTTTGAACATCAGAAGTAAGTTTTAATTAATTCATGTGATCAGCAATCATTAGAAAATGCCACATAGTAATATATTTATCCTGCAAATTAAGCTTATCATATTTCCCATTATTATCTTTAATTCAGATGTGAATTGATGTTATTACTCACCTAACAGTAGTTAGAGAAAAGTGCAATATCAATAAGGCATTAAACTGAAGTATCCTATATATCAATTTTATTTCAGTGAAAGGGCATTTATCATAAAAATGTACATTTTTCTTTCAGTTTAAACCTCTGCCAAGAATTGTGACAGGTGGAGTTAAAAGAAAAAGGCCGCAATCAAATACACCAACTAAAAAGAGAGTTATTGAAGAGACAGACAAAGAATATGGCTCAGTGCACGAGGTGGGGCGGAGAAGGCGCTCATTAAGAGTACGAGGAAAGGTATACAAATATCTGAAGTGTTTTAAAATACTTGATTAAAAATCTTTTACAATTGATTTTCAATTAAATGTTAGTATATTGTAAAATGAGCCTGTTATTCAGATATGGCTGCTTAGATAAAGGTTTGTGGAAAAAAGATTTTTTGGTCCACTTTTCATTTCATAATTGGGTAACAAGTCACACACACTTTTAAGTTATGTGTTAGAAAGTCAGTAGCTGCAGGAATTTGATATGTTTTTCTAAAATATATGGAAACTTGTTTAACTTTATTAAACATTTTTAAAATTGATATATAGACTCCAGAAGAGACTGCAGAGCTTGAAGATGAAGAAGATGAGGAATATACCCCAAAGAAAATCTACCCAAAAAGAGAGAATTCATATGGAGCAATTGAAGGTGGGAGTCTTTATCTATAATGTATGATTTTGAAATGAATATTTTTTACTCTTTGTGTAGTCCATGGACACTTATTTTAGCTTAAGCATGAAATGATTCATGTAAGATTATGCATATTTAGTTATTAATGACAAGGGCATGGGGTCTTGTAATATTTTCTTGGTTTGGCTGAACCACTACTGTTTACCATGTCATTGTTATGCATTTACATTAAATTGTAAACGATAGCAATAATGATATTGAAATAAATATATAATAATCAATGGATAAATCAAATGATAAAGACATTTTAAGATAAAATTATAAACAGTGAAGTGTTAAACTTTTTAGTTGTAGCAAATATTCATGTGGCCTATTCAAATTAAAAAGTGTGATGTTTTTTTCTCCTTTTGAAGGTGTGGATGTGGGATTTATATGGGAGACAAGGATGGAATGTTCAAGAGCTGGCATACATAGGTTAGTGCAGCTTGCTTTGTATGAAACGGAGAAGAAAAACATTTTTCTTTTTATATATGGGCTCTTTGAAGTTGGATTATAAAAAGTAATTGATTATTTCATGTTAAGTATTAAAAACAGCTGAAACCTCTCTCCATAACATACAAAACCAAAATGTATTTTCAGATGTGCTTCATGAAAATTCTAGTAAGGTATATGAGGAATGTCAAACAATTGCTTTGACTTATGCTAATTATGCAAAGAAATTAAATATTGACTATCTGGTTATTTTTATGTGAAATCAAACTTTTTGATGATATCCACTCCTTATTTTACATTAATTTCTCTTCCTCAGGCCTCCTGTGTCAGGAATTCATGGCGGTGAACACGGTGCTTACTCCATCGCCCTGTCAGGGGGCTATGACGATAACGTGGACTTGGGAGAGTGCTTCACCTACACAGGAGAGGGCGGGAGAGATCTTAGAGGCACCAAGGCCAATCCCAAGGTATGATAGAAATTGGAACACCACATCAGATTTACATATTTATTAAAAGTCTCATGTTTCTCCTGGCATGTCGCATCACTAGAATCTGTCTTGCACCCCTGACTGACCTTTAACCCAGATCATGTGACATTTTACATCATACAAGATACTGCGATGTTTTACCAATCATTCACTCACCCTCTTTTTCTTAGAAACAGATTGTAAATCATGGTTTATGTTGATATTGAACATTTTATTAAAGATTAAGTGGTGAGAGTGCCTTTAGGTTCATGTTGATATTTGACCCTTGATATTTGACCCATGCATTGTTCAGAACCTGCGCACTGCCCCCCAGTCCAAGGACCAGACACTGACCCGCGGCAACCTGGCCCTGTATAACAGCGTGGAGAGTGGTCATCCTGTCCGTGTGATCAGAGGGTACAAACTGACCAGCTCGTTTGCCCCAGAAGAGGGCTACAGATATGATGGTCAGTGATGGTTGAATATTTTGATATTAAAAGATTTGATTTAATGAATGGTAATGAATTATCATATTTATTGTAAAGAAGACAATGCAGAGTGACAAATGAGTTTATTGTTGATTTTTATTTATTTTATTATTTCTTCATTTATTATTATATTTTAGGGTAATCAATAACTCACAAAAGAGCAAGCTCAAAATGTTATGTTTTAATGGATAAAATTAATTGGAGAATAATTTTATTCTCAGAAAATAAGACAATAATAAAATAAGATTATATAAAGATTTTCCATTGTATAAAATATCATCTGGAATAATTTTTCTTTACCAGGTTTGTACACTGTCACCAAAGCATGGTTCTCTACTGGAGTCTCAGGATTTGGTGTCTGGAGATTTGCCTTGAAGAGATGTCCAGATCAGGCACCACCTCCATGGACACTCACATATGCTGTAAGTTGCCAACAAAGTTAACACAACTCTTATCTGTGTTGATAATTATGAATTTTGTCAGAAAACATAACACTTGCCTCTTCTGTAAGTTGTGGACTTCATGAAAAAACGACATACCTTTTATAAACTTTATTGTCTATTCATGTTTAATAGTGCTCTTCCTATTTCTGGGGTGCTAATAAGACAAGATAACTCATGTAAATGACTTTAAAGTTTAAATTATAATTATGTATTTTTTGTCTTTAGTATGTAAGCATGCATTGTAGGAAGAACAAATGTTTAAAGTGCCCCCCCCCCAAAAAAAAAAAAAAAAAAAAATGTTCTTGCATACATCATCTAAAATTGTAAACCCATAAATATTGATAGTTGAAACCATTCAAGAGGTCAAATTATTCTTCATCAGGAAAGTCCATCCAAGGATAAACACAAGGATGTGGAAGAAACTGATCCCTCAGCACATCAGCAAGAAATATCTGCTCCAGATGCCTGTGATGAAGAAGCTGCTGGCACTGCTACTACTAAAATTTTGGAAAACCAGGATGTTGGCAAAGATGACACTAAGGATGGAGACAAAGATGACATTACTGCTGATACAGATGTTGACAAGGATGGTGACACTGAAATCAAGGACCATGACAATGACAGCAAGAGTGACATCAGTGAAGGTGACAGCAATGGCAGTCCCACGTCAAGTGAAGTGGATAAAGAATTTGATCAGGTTGAAGACGCAGCACCACACTCGCCTCCTTCTGAGAGTGATAGCAGAGATTCTGAATTGAGCGAGGCTAGTCGCTAAGTTTATGAAGAAACTACAGGATGAGATTGTAAATACATACCTGAGAGTAAACTTTTTATATCTTTTTGTATATAGATTGTTATGAAATAGAACTGAAGGAAAATTCTTATTGACATGTACTGTATAATGCTGTTTTTCTTGGAAAAACTGAAACACACCTGCCATATTTTTCTGAAAATGAAATTTGATGTTGCAATAACGTGAAGGTAACTTTGACTACTACAGCAAGTAATGCTGCTTTTACAACTGAAATTTTTGGGTACTTTGCAAATACGATGAAATCGCAATATTTTATGCGGCAATTTTTTATGACTTTTTTCAGTGTGCAGCTTGGTGCTTTAATGACAAGGTTTTCTTGATGCATCTCAGCTGTATTGTGACTGGTGCATCACATATTTCGAAAGCTTTATTTTGTTACATATGTAGTTTTGATGACAGAACACATTCATGACATAGAATTTTGTTATTATTTTAAAAATCTGAATTCTGAGAATGAAAATTTCAACTATGCATAGGTCTGAAGTCAAAGGATTGCCATTTTTATTTTTATATATTATATAAATAATTATAAAGGTTTTGTTGATTAAATGTTATGCTTATTTTTTATAAACTTTGCAGTAAATGCGGCAATTCATTGTCATAGTGATGACTTGAAATGTTATAACTGTTATAAAATATTAATTAATATACTTAGTGTGTACAAAAGACAATTTAGTTTGTGATGATTTGCATTATTTTCTTTTCTATAAATTTGGAAACGTGCTTATTTTATTTTATATATGAAAGTGGTTTTTCAAAAGGTTATTGAACTGTATTTGTAGATTTTATATTAAATTTTGGTAGATTTTTTCAGAAGTGCTGCAGTAACTTTAATTGTTTTGGTGATTAATAGTAGGTTTTTTATTTTTGTCAGGATAAAAGAACAATCAAATATTGCAAATGCCATAAGCACTTTTGTATAGGCAACATATCATTACTCTCCAATTTACCAGTAGTTTTAAAAAAAAGCTGCATGTATTCATAATGTTTGTAGATAAACTATGTTCATAGATTTATAGTTCAATAAAATATACATTAAGCATGGTTTTGGTTATTTCATGTAAATGATAAAAAAATATAATGCAGTATGCAAGTTTACAATATTTCAACTTTTTATTTTCATCACAAACATTTGGAGTACTCTCACAATCACTAGAAAGATGTACTAGTATTGTGATACATAAACTTTCTCAGAGTTAAAATTGGCATGACAACACCGGGATAAACTTTTCATTTTTATTCGGAAAATAAAATTCAAAATAATATAAATGGTTTTATGAAGAGATAAAAAAGAAAATAACTGTAATAGTATCACGCATAATTTACTTAATTCGTATGGTGATATTTACATAAGACGTTACACAGAGCATAATTTAACTAACTGCTGAAATAAAATATTTTGCCGATGAATTGTTTATTTGCCATAATTGTAGCCTTCGTTTGTGGTAGAATGCCAAATTTTCACAGAGAAAAAAAGTGACTAAGACTAAGAGATGGAACTGAAAAACCGCCGAACCCGCATTTGGTAAACGGAAGGACGACAGCTTTAATAATTGGTGCAGTATCGGAAGCTACTGGATTCCCATAGCAGTGCAAAGGCCTACCTTTCCTCACATTTTAACAGGTTACAGAATTTTATTGTCACAGCCAAACGAGAGAAGTAAGTTGGTGTATATTATATACATGTATGAAAAAGAAGATATACAGAAAGATTTGGGTGCTAACGATCTATTAGCATCAGTACCTCACTTGATTAATAATCATTCCCTAAAATTTTGTTCAAACCATGCATCCATTCTATTTTCATTTGTCCCCAAAAAGGAAGTGTTAAGCAAGAAAATGGGCAGAAAGAAATATTATAAGAAGAGTGGCAAAGGATTGGTTAATATTGAAATTCAAATGGATAGATGGAATGTAGTGAGGGAAAAGCTACAAATTATGCCACATCATGAAGTGGCTAAACTGCTGTTAGATACGTGAGTATGGATACTTTCCTATATAATGTATGAATGGTCTACAGACCCTTTTATTTTATTGATGAAGTGTTATCCTTATATTTTCCCCTTAGTGATTTACCAGCCTATCCTGATATCAAGCAAACATAATTTCAGTTTCTTTTTGTACATGTACAAGATTATTACTCTATAAATCCCATGTTTGCTTGGTCTCATACCATGCTCGATAGGATACTGTTCATACTTTTCTGAAAGTAATATATATATTCTGCTTAAGGTTTATATTATGATTAGGCACATTGCATTTTGATTAGGTACTTCATATCTACTGGTCTTAGTTCCAACCTGGATCAAGCTGCTGATGAAAAAATCGGTGACACCAGTGGGCAGAGTAAGTCAAGACAGGACACTCCTCGTGATCCATGCTGGCATTTACATATGTGATAATAGAGTCATTGATCTCTATCATCTACCCGACTGATGGAACTTTTTAAGACAATATTTAACTAGGTTAAATAATGTATGAATTTTATATGAAAAAGAAGATATACAGAAAGTTTTGGGTACAAACGATCTACTGTATTAGCGTCAGTATTATTCTCACTTGATTAATATTATTATTATTCCCTAAAATTTTGTTCAAAAATTCCTTCATTTCTTTTTCATTAGTCCCCAAAAAGGAAGTGTTAAGCAAGAAAATGGGCAAAGTGAAAATAAGACCAAGATTTAACCTAAGCGGCAAAGGATTGATTGACATTGGTATTCAAATAGATAGATGGAAAATAGTGCGGGAAAAGCTACAAATGGTACGAAATCCTGAAGTGGCTAAAGTGCTGTTGGATACGTGAGTATGGATACTTTCCTATATTATAATGTAAGGTCTACAGACCCTTTTATTTTATTGATGTAGTGTTATCCTTATACCGGGTATTNTAGTGGATTGTGATATACCTACACTAACAAGCAAAATGGCCATGTTTTTTTAAAAGAAGTAACACCCTCTTCCCCTTTTGAAATTCTTGACTGAAATGTGTTGTAAAGATCCTTTGCCTGTATTGTAATGTATGCAACTGAGTCTCTAAATAGAATGCTTACTCCTAATTACATTATGACTGTCAACTTCAAATCGATCTTCTTTTTAGTTCGTCGCAGACGGTGTCTTCAAGGCCGAACTCAATGCCTTCCTGATGCGTGAGTTGGCTGAGGATGGCTACAGTGGTGTCGAGGTGAGAGTAACACCCACCAGGACCGAGATCATCATCCTGGCCACCAGGACCCAGAATGTGCTAGGTGAGAAGGGGAGGCGCATCCGAGAACTCACCTCTGTGGTCCAGAAGAGGTTCAGCTTCCCAGAGGGCACAGTAGAGGTAATGTGCAATTGACTTTTGAGGATGATACTTTGTTCTGCATATGTGTGCTTGTGTGTGCAGATTTGGTTAGTTGCAAGGGCATTTGTATATGGAAGTTACACTCATGTTTTGCTATATAGTGGGATTGTTTTTATATATGTGTGAATGATTTAACCAATATTTGAGATTAATGTGCCCTTTTGTTCTTTTTGCTGGGGTAAAGTGGATTTAAAAAAAAATTAATACAAAATGAGTGCACTAAATTCTTCCATGTCCCAGAAGATGATGATGATGTTGTTACAATACAAATTATTTGTAAAACCCTGTTCTAATACATTTGTATTTTATTTATTTATTATTTTTTTTGTGGTATTTTCAGTTTGGGGAGTTCTATCTTTGGGCTAATATTTTGTTTTTGCATGACAGTGTGTTATTTAATACAAGTTCATTTTCTTAAACTGAGCAAAGATTAAATGATTTTGTTTTTTAGCTCTATGCTGAGAAGGTAGCCACAAGAGGTTTGTGTGCTATTGCCCAGGCAGAGTCTCTGAGGTACAAGCTCATTGGTGGTCTGGCTGTGCGTAGGTAAGTCTATTAAATAATGCTCTCATGCTCGCATCTTAAACATTCATGTATTTTAAGTCTGTATATAAACCTTGGAACAAAATACAATGATGGCATACTTAAAGACAAAGATTAATTAGAGTGGCAGGAATAAAGGTAAAATGTACTGTTCATTACATAAATTAGTTCTATGACAAATAACATTGCAAATGTCAAGACTAAAGTTTGTCGCCTATTTGGCATTATCACACTGATATCAGGCGCATTTAAAGATGCATTATAAATTATATAATTTTCATGATAAATAATGGCATTGATTTCCCACCACACTTTCATCTTTGTTAAAAGTCTAAACCACTTTACACATTTGATTTACTGTTCACCCTGCAGGGCATGTTATGGTGTCCTTCGTTTCATCATGGAGTCTGGCGCCAAGGGTTGCGAGGTGGTGGTGTCTGGTAAGCTGCGTGGCCAGCGTGCCAAGGCCATGAAATTTGTGGATGGTCTGATGATCCACAGTGGTGAGCCAGCCAGCGAGTACATTGACACAGCTGTCAGGCATGTGTTGCTGAGACAAGGTGAGTCCTGAGAGAAACAGTAGGATTTGAAAGGGAGGAAAAACATAATCTTCTGGAAATGGAAGTAGACCTGTGAAGATTTTTTCACTGTCATCAGAAGGTTTTTTATACAGCTATACATGAAAGATTTATTTTCTGCCAAGTTATGCTAGGATGATTGTCTTGGAAAAAAGCGACTTTCTCATACCTTACCAAAAGTTATTGTTTTGCTTGGGGAAGTTCTTGTTTAGATAGATGCTTAGCCTTGAATCTCTTGTTGAGCCTTCTTGCTTCTCAGTATTGCAGCTAAAAACTTTTGAATTTACACATAGACCTGAGCTTATGAGGTTACTTAGGTTTAAAAAAACTCTTTGAAAGCATTTTTTAGTTTTCCAGTGCATTTTCTTTTTATTTACAGGTGTCTTGGGGATAAAAGTGAAGATCATGTTGCCGTGGGATCCTTCTGGAAAGATTGGACCTAAGCGCCCTCTCCCAGATCATGTCAGTATCGTGGAACCAAAAGAAGAAATTCTTTGCACACAACCAGTCAGCGAACAGAAGGGTGGAAAGCCCGACGCTGCTCCTGTAGTGACACAGTAGAAGAATGGTGGAGAGACTAAACTTAAGTGAACTGTAAAACTGTGAATATTATTACTTTATCTCAAATGTGGAAAAAAAAGGAAGTAAAAAAAGAAACCTGTCCATGAAATAAAGATAAAGTGAGATGGAAAAAATATCTTGAGTTCTTTATCCCTGTGAATGACTCTTCATATATCATAACTGATGGTTTAATATTCATCTCTTCAAGCTTGGCTTTGTGCAATACATGATTTGGTCATTGAAATAGTCTTCCACATATTAGAACTTACTTGTTTCATTTACCAATTTGAAAAAAGTTTCATCTCGTATGTGAAGAAACTCGTTTCTTGCAAGATTTTTTTAAAATATTTTTTTCACAAGAATCGGGACAAAGCTTGCTTTGAAATTGTAGAAAAAATTACACCATCAAAGCTTCAATACTATTAAATTGCCGAGACCAGTCAGTGCTGCTGAAGTTGAAGTTTCGCGATTAGTGAAGAATGGGGTTGGTGTATGGGATGAATGTGACCTGTTTAAAGGGATAATAACTCTTCATTTCGGCCAAAATATGAATTTTCCTGGAGTAAACAACAATTTTCCCATACTTACCAATGGTTAATGAATCCATTTTTGCATTCAAAGTTAGTCCGTTTTTTATCTAAAAAGTTTGGTTTTTTTTGCTAAAATCTCTTAAGAGATTTTAACTTAGTATAGCTATCAATGGAGGTCACGTGGTCTAAAGACAGGCTTAGATATCAGAATAATAGCTATAACTGCCATTTTTGTTGTAAAACAGAATATATTATATTTTATGAGTTATTCACAATGTTTTTATTGTGAAATATATATCTCATACAAAGAGTTATCCCTTTAAGGTAATGGGAAATGGACTACAGTTCCCAGCAGACTACTACTGTCAAACCAATTTGTGCGGTTTCACTAGAGGAAGATTTCTTTGAATTTATGTAATTTACCATCAAAAAATGGGTTTTTAAAAAAGGTGGTCAGATGTCACTTGTGCATAATTCTTTTTGAAAAGCACAAAAACTCAAAAATTCTTACTGCTGTTCAAAAAGAGATACGCACAAGTGACATCAAGTTTCAATATGAAAAATATAAAACTTTGATGAATTCACATTTTTATTTTCTCTGAAGACTGCCCAGCTCACTCAATACTTCATAAATATACAAAATAACTTGTAATAATACTGGAAATTTGTTCCTTACATACAGTATATATATATACCACAATGTTTTCATAGGCCAAACGGTGCTGAAGACGTCCTAGAAGACCTTTACAAACCAAGTTTGTATGATGGCACCACCTGATAGGATTGTCTGTACATCTAATATGTTATCATTTAAAATTAATTTGTATTACCATAACTGTACACTGATTTTTTCATATCTAAAACTTACATCCTTGAGATAAAAACAATGCAGCCTAGTAGCACCTGTCTACAATATTGAATAGATACATTAATGACATTCATTGGTGGGAAAAATGTTAAAAATTTCTTTCTCTTTTTGCACCCACTGTAAAATGGGTTTTGGGGTACATGACAAGGCCACAAATGGCAGATTAAAAATGAGAAAACTTCCAAGAAGATTGTATCACTCTGATTCTGTGGAAGCATATGAATTGCATGACTTAGCATGTCCAACTGACTTGAAAAAGCAGATGCACCAGTTTTCAAATTAGCACATTAAAAATTTGCGAACAAAAGCACGTAAGATGAGGTGTCCCCTCATACCTGCAAACGTGACACAAGTAGATACGATAAGAAACGATAACATGAAATATTAAAATTATGTAAATAATGTGAAAAGAACCCTAGGAGAAATACAATAATTGGTTTGACCAAAATTCTTGAGGTTCAGATTTGTATATATTTACAGCTATGCTGAAATATTTAAAATGATTCTGGAGGCTGCTCCCCTCAATGACTAATTTGATATTCTTTAATATTGGCAAATTTGCAATAGCACTTCCACTGGCAGACTTCAATGAGTAATCCTATAAGCCAGAAAATATCTCTTTTTTGATAAAACGTACAAGTTAAACTGAAATGTGAATGGAAATCAATCAAATTTTGTGTACACTTATTTTAAATTCAGACAATATACCCATACACAATTGTCTCTTAAAGAGAATAATAGATTTAAGGAAATTGCATTTCACAATAACTTTGCAAAACAACTAGAAGCCTTCTTTAGATTTGTTTGCAGGCAAAAGAATGAGCAGCTACCAAATTCTTTTTTTCAGATCAATTTTCTTGACTATTAAGAATATTTGCTTTTGCAGTGCAAAACTTTTGTTTCTGATTTTACAAGCAAGCAAGGATACCAAATATTGAGGTTTAAAATACCTGATCTTCATTGTATGAACTTGCTTCATTTGATATAAAAAGTTTAGGAAATGTCATGTGATCTTACATTTTAATAATTTTTTTATTCATAGCACATTTTTGTTTGGTGGACACTCACTTCTGGGCCAACCTTAAGTCCACCAATGTGCAATTTCAATGAACAAATCTGTTACGACTTTAACTTATCACATCACAGTTCATGCACCAAATCACCCCATTTTTACCTGATCGACTGTTCAGAGACACACTGATGTTGATACAATGTTAAGCCTCCTAAAACACTGTTAATTTAAAAACCTGGTTCATTGTCTGGAAGGCTGCATGAATTTCCACCTTTGACAAGCAGGATTTTGTAAAAGCTGTTATCACATATCATGCAGACTCTTGCAAGTCCTTCTGCTTGTGTCATCCAGTCCTCTATAACAAATAAATACCCATATTTTCAGTAAGCACCCACATTTTCACAAGGGCAACATAACAATAGATGGCACCACCTGCAGGGGAATCCATTTCATCAGACCTGCCACAGCAGTAAGTGGTTGGTGCTATCATCCCTGCCTGCTGCTTCATTATTAATCCCTGTGCGGAAATCCTCATAACCATCTCCTCCACTGATAACCAGCATCTTGGTGGCACGAGCAGGAGTGCCCCCTATTGAGCGGCGACGTATTAAGTGATGTTGTTGTAGCGACTGTTCCGGAAAAGGTCGAGATGAAGGCATCTCCACTGCTGTAAGGAAGCGCACGTGACCAGTATGACCATGGACTAAACCTGAAAACAGTTGAAAAACCTTGAATACTTAACTGCATTTTTGAGTACATAATGGTTAAATATTGTAGATAATGGTTAAATATTTTTTAGTTGAAATATTTCACAATAATATTCAATTGCTTTCTCTATTATTTTCTGTGAAAGTGATCCTTTATGTACTTCTTATATAACTTCATTTTGGGAAATTTCATAGATGTTATTTGAAATAAGGAAACAATTACCCTACTGATATTTTAAAAGTCAATCAAAAAAAAAAAAAAAATGACACAGCTTACCTGTCACAGTGGGTGCTTGAAGAGTAGATTTAGTGGTGGATGAAGTAATCTTTGGCAAGGGAATGGTGAGGATGACCCCTGCACTGGTTCCTACCCAGAGGAGATCTTTACAGGCCAGGAGGGAGGTGATGCGAAGGCACGCCGTTTTATGCTGTCTAATTATGTCATCTGTAGCTGATGAAGAGCAAAAAATTTCATGAATTAAATTTACATACAAGTTAGCATAAGTTAATTTTTCTATTACAGCATAAGATTAAAATATCCATATCTTGAACAAAACCAATTTACAAGTTTTTTTTTCTCTTCAAGAGATTCAGCAACTCAAATGGAGGGAGGAGGGAACGACACATTTCATCAAATGCAAGGCAAGGTTCTCACATCTGCCTTTTGTCTGTCTTGTTACATGGACAGAAAAATCTTTCACATTACCCATAAGTTTCTGTGTCACTGCCTGAGCTATGCTGATGTCTGTAAGGAACTGTCTGTTGGTGGCATGGAAGAGCACCACCTTGGAGCTGCCCTGGGGTGCTATCCAGACCCCCTGACCAGAGCACACCATGGACTGGATGGGGCGTGGGCTGTCTGTGGGGATTTGAAATGAAACCTGAAATAATGGGTAAGATGACGTGAATTGGTAATTTCAATACTAATATCAGACATATAGTTCGATGATATTGCAGACTTATCCCAATTAGTTCAATTAGTAACTAGGGTTTGACTATTGTACTTGGTAAACAAAGAACAGTACTATAAAAATTTTATCATACTCTCGATGAATCACAAAAATTTCAATGGTTATCTGAGAGACAACAGTTGTAACTACTGGTACATGTAGACACATCCATCACCCAATGTACAAGCTACCAGCTCCAATACAAATATCAGCCACAACGAAGTGGAAACCCCCTATTCTCCATTGTGTTGTAGTGTGGTTTCCATTCATGTAACTGTGCTGATTTTTGTTAATGTAAATTATAATGTTTAGTCTATTTTATCTGTGTATTCAATAGTATGTGTATTAAGTATAAAATAATAAAATGAAAACCTATCCCATACAAGGACCATTTCAAATTTCACTTGGGCCACAGGCCATAACATATCTTTGCGCAGTTACCTCAGAGACAAGAGTTGTAGGGTTCAGCATCATGACCCCACTCTGACAGCCGCACCACAGTTTACCAGCCACTGCCAACATCTTGGTCACTGGTGATGTCACAGTGCCCACTGATAGAGTGTCTGGGTGCTGTGTGTCCCAGCTGCCATCTAGTGGTAAATGGAGAAGTTAATTTAAACTTTTCATGAATAGTAACTTAATGTCAACTGTTGTGAACCATTAACTGGAAGGCAGTCATCAAAAATTGTTTAAATTGTCACAACTTGCTGATTCTTAAAATATTTATAAAGTAAAGATATATATTCATTTTTCTCAAGCTTAAATGATAAAATACATGTACTTGCTAGTGGGGTGACAAGTGGTACACATGTGCTTGTATTTGTACAAAGTAAGGGGTGTTTACACATATTAATCTTTTAAGTACAAAATTTATGTTGTCCTTAAGGTTGATTTTCTTTTAAGAACATTTTTACAACCCTTATGTCAGATTTAAAGGACAATCTCACCTGCATCCCTCCTGTATACACGGATCTCTCCATTTGCTAAAGAAGCAAACACCTTGCAATCCAAATGCCTGTGGAGAATAATAATACACTCTTAGTGTCCTAAAAGTCAAACTTTGCACATAACTATAAGACTAAATACATGTACCATCAGTACTGCTGTTTATGATCTCTCTCTCTCTCTCTCTCTCATATAAGTGTCTAAACATAAAATTCATTTGGTATCTCACATTTCTGGGCCATATTGCACTTATCATAATTCCCCTAACAAATTTTGTTTTTTTAAATACTTTGCTATTTTTTAAAGTTTCTAATCATTCCTTACACAATGCAAAGAACTCCTGCAGGATGGGGCACTTTCAGTTTGTTCTTGGTGGTCTTGATGTTGTCTGTGCTTTGAAAGATATGGATACTGGAAAAGATACAAGGAAATCCCTAAACACATATGCCACTATCTAATTTTGCAAAGATATAGATCTGTCCAAGAACTCTGAAACAAAAGAATAGTTGCCAATAGAGAAATTTTGCATTTTTCCCAAATTGCATTAAAAAAATATCATTCTGAACAGGAAGTTGTGAAATCCAGACAAGAAATAATGCTGTTAAGTTTAAGCTTCTGGTCTGTTTAGTCTGTATAGTCATTTTTTCTTAGACACATACTATCCATTGTCTGTTCCTAGCCACATAGTGCTCTTATAGGGGTCCAGGAGAGGCGTCTGCTTGCTGCTTTCTGAGCTCTGTCTGGTGTGGCGTCCTAAAAATAGTAAAACACATTTCATACTTGATACAATATAATATTTGATACAATATAATTGATTAAATAAAGTGTATAACAATGTGTACATGTCCAGACAGAAATCTGCACAAGAAATATTGTAAAGTTAGAGGTGTTTGTGTAAATGAGATAGAGAATGAAAATATAACAAATATTCAGTTTTACTGTATCATTATATAAAGTATTTTCAAATTTGTAATAAAAGAGAATGTTTACATACTGAGTCCTAGTACATACCAACATTCCTCCTGCTATAAGATGGCATATCATCCTCATCATCAGTTGACTCTGTATCAGACTCGGACCCATCACTGGACTCTGTGTTACTCAGCTCCAGACTGACCTGATTGAAATCGTCCTGGTGACCACTGTCCATTGATCGATTGCGGCCACTTCCTTTCCTGGAAACAATAATTCCTTTCATCATCATAATGCTTTGATATATATATATATTTGTACTTCCTTCACAATAAACAAAACTTCACAATTATATGAGTTGCAATTAACCTGTTAGGTACGTAGCATGTAGCACCATTTGTCACTGGAAAATGATTGTTTTCTGGCAATGACTCGGAGCTGATTCAAAATAATTATAGAAGTAGTGGAAAAAGAACATGATAGATAATAGTTGGACATAAACCACTACCTAAACCGTAAACTGCGAATGTTTGGTCAATAATTGAGGGGGGAAGGGGGAGAGAAAGAAAAATCTTATACCCATTCGTACCTTTTTAGAGGCCCACTGTACGCTGGCACTGCAAATATACACAGTATCTTTGAGTTGCACCCTGGGACGGGAGTGTTCAGTGTCACTATGGGTTCTGGCTGTAGACTGAGCAGGCACATGTGCCCCACGTAGCCATCACTGTTACACACCCACACATCTCTGTAGCCCGACGTGTTCACACCGTCCACAGGGGAGGCACAGGAAAACTGCAAATAAAGATTGGTACGAAAGATAGGATGAAAAAATAATGTAAATCTATCTTTCCATCCATCCACTCATCCATTTATATATCTATTAAATGATTAATTATATATCATTTTTAAAAAAGCATGTGCACTTTTGCATTGGAGAGAGAGAGAGAGAGAGAGAGAGAGAGAGAGGTCATAAACATCAGTGTTAGGTATATCTAACCTGCATTCCAGCTCTGGTCTTAGTGATCTGCAAAGCTTGCATGAATTCTGGTGGCCTTTTCTCTGTAATGGCAGCTGGAATGTACAAACAGGAAATCCTTGAAATTGATCAGGTATATGAATAAGGTCATCAGTTCTACAGATCAGCAACCAGCATATTCTTGGATATATATATTTTTACTATGATATACAGAATGCAGAAACTTATCATGATGATAACAACTGCTATAAAATCTAAGTTTTTTCAAGTCACAATAAATAATTTTCACAAAACTAAAAGTACAAGTTATCTTTACTGAAACATATGACTTACCTGGGCCAATTAAGACAATGCTTGCATAAAAGAGTTAGCTCTATTAAATCTATAACAACTGCACAGTGATTTTTCATAAGCAATGGTACATCCATTCATGAAAAAAAAATTGATTTTCATTTTAAATTAAATGAACTTACACAGATTTTGCTTTGCCTCCATGAATCCGTCTTCCCAGGATTTCCTCTTGTCT